GCCGTTCCTCCATCAAGGGTAGTGAGGGGGGAGGAGGAACCAAGTCGATTTCTGGCAGAAAAAGGTGCCGTCCACGACCTAGTAACCTTGCGAGTTGTTTTCCATTAAAGTGCTTCGCTCTTGTCTCGCATATTTTCAAGGGCAAGCTCCCACATTAAGATCGTGGGGCTCACGAGTCGATCTGGGTTTGGAACGACATGAGGGTGAGTAATTAATGACAGAATTTTCATTTTTTAAATGCACTGCATTATTCAAATTATTCAAAGCAATGAAATAACATGACCATCTGTAAAAAAAAAAAAAAGGGAAGAAAAGAAAAAAAGTGCACAACATTTAAAAACAAACGTTTATGAATCAAATATAATTTTGTGGATAACCAATTATGATTAAAATGCTTAAGGTATAGTACAGCATAGTTCAATACAAAGAGTCGAAGTGCCGATCACACAGAGTTCTTTTTGCGGATAAAGACATGAGCTGCAGAACTTCTTAACTTTACATAGCTTTCTAAACATGCGGCTCTCTTGTGCGAGACGTGAGTGCAACAATCAAAGATATCCGTCTAGTTCATGTTTACCTAGAAAACGATGGAAAAGCATAGCAGAAAATGCGTTCTGTGTGAACAGCTTGGTTACGGTTTTGACGTAAACCAAGATCTTTTTGCACATTTAGCTTCTCTATTTCTGCAATGTTTAGAATGAACAACACAGCAGCACCACACAGTTGGTTAAACCAGATGGTCTTATTATTGGGAGATACGAGGATCTGAGGTCAAGGTCTCTGGTTGTCAGATGACAGTAAAAATGACATCTGACAGATGTGAATGCAAGAACTCTCTTTGTTGTTGCTGCAGCTAGAACACAACACAGATATTCAGCTCAGAGAAGAAAGTATGTGCACAATTTTCTAGGATCTGTGTGCCGCATTTTGATTAATAATCATTGATTAAAGGGTTAGTTCACCCAAAAATGAAAATTCTGTCAGTAATTACTCAGCCTCATGTTGTTCCAACCCCGTCAGACTTTCGTTCATCTTCGGAACACGAATTAAGATATTATTTTTGATTAAATCTGAGAGCTGGATCAAATTTGAGAGCCTCCATAGGCTTCTTAAGGGATCGAAACTGACCGGCCCAAAAGTTATGAAAGACATTGTTAAAATAGTCCGAGTGACTACAGTGGCTCAATAAGTTTATAAAAAAACGAACAAAAATAACGACTTTATTTAACTAATCATTTCCTTCTCTGTGGGCCGTGATATTTCACGTAGTGATATTGCGCAAAGCTTCTGTGTTGCACGTCACACGTAGGCTCACTATTGGCCGACGCTGGTCATGTGTGAGATGCGTGACGTACAAGTACAACCTAGAAGCTTTGCGTAGTTTCAGTACGTGAAATATCACGGCCCACAGAGAAGGAAATGATTAGTTGAATAAAGTCGTTATTTTGTTTGTTTTTTTGCGCACAAAAAGTATTCTCGTCGCTTGATAAACTTAAGATTGAGGCACTGCAGTCACTCGGACTATTTTAACAATGTCTTTCATAACTTTTGGGCCGGTCAGTTTCGATCCCTTAAAGGGGTCATATAATGGTACATGCACTTTTACAAGTTGATTGTACTGAAATGTGTGTTGGCAGTGCTGGTACACAAACATCATAAAATTATAAAAATCCATTCAGTGTTTTTGTTTTAATCTCCTTGTATGTTTTCCCCTGTCTCAAATCAAGCCGTTCGACCTTGTGACGTCACACGGTCGGAAACCCCTCCCACGATTGTTGAATGACAGCCGCGTTTCAACACAGACCCGCCCTCGCTCGTGAGCCAGCTGTCAATCATAGTCTGCGCGGACCGGCGCGGTCATTGTTGATATGCTGGAGCACTGTCTATGAGCAGAATGGCGTCTAAGCGATTGTGGTGTTCTGTTCTTGGGTGTAATAACGAACACAGTCATTTTAATGTTCCTAAATCCGAAACCGCTGAAGACGCAGTGGCTGAGTTTGTTTTCGAAGGGAATATTCCCCACGAGCAACGTCAATGCGTTCATGTTTGCGCGAATCATTTTTCACCAGACTGCTCATAAACGAGGAGGGTCAGTATAAAGCTGGTTTTGCTAAGAAGCTGCTCCTGGACCGGTATTCGTGTTCCTGCTGAACCTCCAAAACAACTGAAGTGAGTGTAACGTTTTATTAACCTTTAATATTAATCTTTGTAAATCGCTAGATGCACGCTTCACAATGAACGCGTCTAATGTTTACACTCAGGGTACATTACGGCATGTTTTCTATGTACGACGTTCTCAATATAATTCATAATCCCACGTCTATAATGAACAACGCGTTATGGTTATTGTGTTACAAACGGTGTACACAGAACAGAGGGGCGGGGTGAGTAAAGCTCATTATCATTTAAAGTCATATGCACTGAAACGGCGTGCTGAAAACAGAGCTGTTTTGACCAGGTAAAATAAGTGTTTTCTTACAATACTAATGAGAATTTTTAATTAAAGTATATTACAAAGTTTTAATTTAGACTCTAAAGAATCATATTAGCTTGTACAAAAATGGCATTATATGACCCCTTTTAGAAGCCTATGGAGGAGTGATCCAGCTCTCAGATTTAATCAAAAATATCTTAATTTGTGTTCCGAAGATGAACGAAAGTCTTACGGGGTTGGAACAACATGAGGGTGAGTAATTACTGACAGAATTTTCATTTTTTGGTGAACTAACCCTTTAATAGTGCACTTATAGTGTGAGTAAATAATGACTGAATTTTCATTTTTGGGTGAACTATCCCTTTAAGTAAACTCCCATATTACTGAACAAAACAACACAGTTGTATTGAAGGTTAAGGAAAACCAATCAAACATCTTCAAACCACATACTACATGGATGAACTGACTGAACAATGGTAGGGGTGAAAACAAGTTTGTATTTTGATGAAATGTTCACATAGTGGTACTGTCAATTATTCAAGGAGACTCACCATGCAGGTTCTGAAAATCTCAAGACCAGGAAGGCCAAGAAGAACAGTGGATTGGCCCACCGTGGATGCTGTGTAATTCCTATTTAAAAAACGGTATACCGTTGATTTTCAAGTTTCCCGAACAAGCATGATTTTGAGTCTTTACCATTCATTGATGTGGCTCAGTTAAAAGGTTTCTCCCTAAAACTAAAAGGAAAGACATCAAGAACACAGTGAAACTGTATTTCCACAGTGGGTCATTTCATCAAGTCATAAAATAACTTTTTTTAATTTTTAAAGATCTGGTCAATATTGCTCCAAAGATCATTAAGACAATGTCATTAAAAAAAAAAAAAAAAAATTGTGAAAGTATTTAACTAACCATTTCATGAGGAGAAGGAACTTTAAAAACGTAGTAAACATGATTCAAATCTTCAAAGCAATGCAGTCTTTTAAATGACAAAGCAAGTATATTTACTTTGGCATTAAATAAACTAATTTCATCCTTTGACAAATATAGCTAATTTAAATAGATTTAATTTAAACCTTCTTTTTTTTTGTAGTGATATGCAAAGTTGCATAGTTTAGGGACATAAAATGCATGCTTTGTAAGTGATAGATAACAAAGTTGGTTTAATCAATCTTGTTTTTGTAATTGTCACTATATGACTAGTCAATTAATCCGGCAGTTTGCGCTGCCACCGTGTGGTCATTAAGCCACAGTGCAGTAGAATAAAATCTGTAGGCCCAAGCCCAACACAATTTCCAAATGTAGAATTTTAAAGGTAAATGCATAGACTGTAAAAATGTTGGACTTCATACTATTTTCTTTGAGAGACGCTGACAGTGATCCAGTGTTTCATTTCGCTTTATTTCACATTTCATTAAATAATAGTGAAAATAAATAAAGATTACATACTACCACTTAGGATATATATATATATATATATATATATATATATATATATACTGTATTAAATAATAGTGAAAATAAATAAAGATTACATACTACCACTTAGGATATATATATATATATATATATACTGTATAGGATATATATATATATATATACTGTATATATATATATATATATATATATATATATATATATATATATATATAATATAGAAATAATTTTCTGTCTTATTATGATGCGCCTAAATAAAATTATTGGGCAGAAATGAAAGAAAAAAATGTTTGCATTTTTGTTGGTTTGCGCTATGTTTCTATATTGGTACATTATTCCCATTTTTATCTGCTTCAAATTAAAGAAAGCTCATATCCATAAACTGTGTACATTCATTGTACATTGATGTCAAATGCAAAGGCTGTTGTTACAACCTATGCTTGGACAAGGACATATAATTTTCATTTTGTGAATTAATTCATTGTGGTAATTAAACGTACTTGTTAAAAATAAATTGTGCCATCAAAAAAGGTAAACACTAAATTTTCCACTAAAATAGGTGTTTCTCTGTTTATTTTAGCATGTTTTTGAATGAAATACCTTATTACAATTGATCGTTTAAAAATGTTTAAAAAAATTAGGATTATTAAAATGCTAGTGATTTGTTACAAAGGTAGGCTAATGGTAATCTGGATTCACTCTTGAAAACAGTTTTATTTTAAAAGCTTTAAGCAACTGTGCTATTTATAACCATTGTAATCAGACAAAACCATGGATGATTAAAAACATGGACAATCACCCATTTCCATGTTTAGAGCAGTTTCTGTAAGACAAATACATTTGTTATGAAAAACAGTAGACTAAAACTATGGAAGGAAGCCCATTTCTGCCACATGAGGGAAAAAAAACCCATGCTTAATTTCGCTAGTAGCCTAATTTGTTTTTAGAGTTGTTACATTTTCGACGTACTAACTTATTTATGTGAAAAGTTGAAATTATGACATATATATATAGCCATATTTATAAGTCAAATTAATTGACATAAAAGAAGAAACAACCTGTGTGGTAAAGTCACTAACTCACGGCCTCTAGTGGCTCATAACAGAAAACGCTTATTTCGTAGGAGTGACGCGGATGAAGTTTGTCTCCTGCGAGGCACCATCCTTGATACCCTTTCCCCCTTCCCTCTCTTATGGCGAGATTTCCATTTAACTTCTAATGTTTTTACGTTGTAAATTCAGTGCCTTTAAAACGTAATCTTGTTAGTATTCTTAGTTATATTCCGCGTAAGTGGCATGATGTTTACGTCCACCGGTTCGTGGGGATTGTGTAAGTATAGCTCAAAATCATCATGTCATGAAGATCATATCCTGCTGTCATTCATTCGGATTAAAGCTCAGTCGTCATGACCTTTAATCGATTATTATCGCACTTCACACATCATCCTTGCCTTCAAATGATTTTGCTTTGACTCGTGATTTAAGACAGGAAGTTTTGCTATCGTTTAAAAAGTTGGGTGTGAAACCAGGCGCTTCTCTCGGAAATGCGACATGTTATTATTGTGTTAAGTCTTTACTATGAGTTAGACATATAACGTTAGAGACTGAATGAACTCTTCTTAAAATCACCATAACCAACACCTTCTTGAAAAAGCAAAGAGCCTCAGTTCACATTATTACTGATGTAATAATGCAAATTAATTTACCCTTTCTTAAGCTGTTCTAGGCATGTGATTTTATTTCTTCTGTGAAATACAACATAATTATATCGTTCGATTTTAAATTTGGTTTACATTTTAAAAAAAATGCCATAGGCAGTTTGAGGGTTTAAGATACCAAAACATACAATAATAATGATTATTTCATTGCACTGAAAATAAATTCAAACTAAGTACGTTTTATAGTATAAAGTGATACGTCATTAATTTAAGGGTACAATATGTAGGATTTTTGCAGTAAAATATCCTAAAACCACTAGGCCAATGTTATATATTTTGCTTAGTTGATTACTTACAATATCCCTAATGTTTCCAACTATTTGTAAATTGTGATAAAATTACGATTTTAACCAAGCAAACGGGACATGTCAACAGGGGTGAGGAGTCGCCAGACAATGGCGTCATATCCGCGTTACCCTCGGTTTCCGCTCGTACTGCCATAGTAACCATGGTGACAGACGTGGACAACTGGGTTATTCTTAGCAGGACGCTCACGCTGTTGTTGTTTTGTTCAAACATTATGGGCCATGTAGGGTTGCCACCTGTCCCGGTTTTACCGGGATTGTCCTTCTTTTTAATAACCTGTCCCGGGAAATTTATGCACTCTCCCGGGACACTGAATGTTCCGGTTTTCGAAAGGCTACGTGAATATGTATGTTCAAACTGTGTAGCGCGCGCAACGGCAGAGAGGGAGAGAGCGAGAGACCTTGCGTGTGTGTGCTAGTGTGCGTCTGTGAGTCTGCCTCAAGAAGTGCATGTAATCGGAGTGTGGAGCGCGCTTGCTGCGCGGGCGCGAGCACTTCCGTTTTTCTATCAACAGTGGAAACAACTTAAAATAGGCCTACTCTATCATTTCTGGTCATAGAAAATAAACATCATTCGGAACAATACATCATTCGCAACTACTTTTATTTGTGTAAACTCACAATAAGAAAACATTGTGCTTTTGTAAAATAAAATAAAACAATCAGTCGCGCTCTTTTATGGTCTCCCTGAACTGGATCGCGTTTCAAAAATAAACAAGCCCATAGGCTAAAGCTTGAAATGTCCACTTTTAAACGAACAAATTCGAATCGAAAGAAAATACAGTCTAATTAATCCATATGAATTTCTTATCTAAAGGTGCATCCGCTTTACAGCGGAGATGGAGATATGTTGCAGCCGAATTAGAAAATAGCCTAGGCCTAAGTTTATTAATAAACATTTAAAATGCCTCGTTACTTTTTCAGAAACATTTATAATAGCCTATAAATCATCTATAGCCTTAGAAATATAGTGTTTGGCCTTAAACCATTTTGTCCATATAATTTGTGAATATTTTAAATGTTTAATAAAGGGGCAAAAAGTCATGAATCGATATGTCCCGGTTTTTTATCAGACATAGGTGGCAACCCTAGGGCCATGGCAAGCAGACTTTGAGACAAAAAGAGGACTAAAACGAAGATCAACATCTTTCGAGATCCCAAGAGCTCCATGTCCGCGACTAACTTCGACTTGACAGAGAAAAATGATGTTTTTCATGTTAAAAACATCAAAGTTTTCAAAACATCAAACGACAAGATCCATAATTCCGCTTAATGCTTTGCGTCATTGATATGTACGCCTTTGTTATTGTAAGAGGTTAGAGACCCCTAGCGGCGAAAAATCCTACATATTGTACCTTTTAAATACTTTTTTTCAAAGGACATAAAATAACTGTCATGTTATTGACCCAAAATATAAAAAACAAAAAAAATTGAAACAGAAAATATTAAAATGAAAACTAATTTATAATTTATAAATAAAAACTTTAATAGTATTTCAATTATACTAAAATAACACATACATAAACCGGTGTGTCTGACTGCCGTCTATGCTGACTGCACTTGGTGAACTCACATATTTACCAAAAGGACCTATAGGTCCCCAATTTGGAAAATAAACTTTCATCCCTTTGACATGACTTCTCTGCTGTCCCACAGATAAAGCACCCCTATCCAAGAGCTTACTGCTGCTTCCTACAGTCCTCTCTGTACTGCTGACTGTGCTTCTGCCTCAGTACCAGGATATGTTCATATACAACCTCCAGGCTGTCAGGCAGGACAAACAGGTGAGATAATACACCAATCTACTTGAATTTACTTGAATAATTCAGTGAACTATATAAAATGTACACTTTTAAAGTCAGCATGAAACTGAAGGTGTGGTAGTCTTTTCTTCGCTATTGCAACGTAAATGTTAGGCGGGAAATGATTTTGTCCATCAGGAATTGATTGGATTGTTTTGGTTTGCATTGTAATTGCTGTGTGATCTTATGTGAGTGACAAATTGTCCCGCCCTTGTGCCGAAAATACGTCACCTGACCAGAGAAGAGAAGAGATGTTGTTGCAAGAGGAAGTTATTTTGATGAAAGATTACGAGGGCACACAAATTAAAATTTTTAAAAAAAGTGTGTTAAATTGTGCACATATCATTTATAATACATACTGCAGTATTCCATTAAAAAGAAAAAAATTGTCCATTTTGATTTCGTGGTGACTTAAACACTGTAAATTGCTCTAAAAAAATTTTGTAGTAAAATAATTTAGCTATTGAGTCAAAAGCAAGAAATAAAAAAATGTAGTTCTCCTCCAACTTCAAATTTGTCCGACATTGTTGTTTTACCTTTTATTTTAATTTTTTTTTTTGTACTGGGCGTTTGACTTATTCTTTGCACTTTCGCTTTGTAAACACCAGGTCGGTACTTCAGATCAATTTTCACATATAATCGATACATTTTATTAGATTGTGATTGTCTATAATATTTTTGAAATATTTCTAATATTGTGTGTGTTTTCCATGTCTCTCTTGTAGTTCTGGAGGCTGGTGAGTGGACGGCTCATCTGCCTGGACCTGAAAGACACTTTCTGCAGCAGTTTGCTTATCTACAATTTCCGCATATTTGAGAGGAGGTTTGGCAGCCACAAATTTGCTGTAAGTCTCTGGTGTGAATAATCCGCTCGTGTCTCTAACGCTCTATCAGGTGCCAAAAGAAAACAAGGAACGGTGCCAATATACACTACACTCACGGTGTGATGTAATACTACTTAGTTAAAATCTTTTATAAATCATTAAAATACTGATCTCCGGGATGTCGTGAGCACGGAGAGACTGTTGTGTACAACATACGTTTTTAAAAGCTAATCTTAAATGTGTAATATGAATGAATAGTGCTCATAAACGGCTGTTGAGATTGTATTGTCAAGTGAAACGACTTGGGCCTGAAAACGGCATTCATTACGTTGCAACTTAACAAGCGGATAGCACCTTTGTCTCTCTTCCTATTTGTACATTTTTTTTTACTTCTGTGTTTTATATTACATTGCAAAATCTATGCAGTACAAATATGAGATATTTTTCTGAAAATAAGGTTTTTGGAAAGCGCTAAGTGGTTTTCAGAAAGTCTCAAAATGCGAACATTTTAAATGTATTTTAAACGTTGTTTTAGCTATTAATGATGGAATTCTTGTCTTATAAGCTGAACGGCATGGAATAGCTGTGAGCAAAGGCACTCTTGAAAGGATTTTAAGCAAGAACAAGCTTTGGCGCAGAAAGATCAAAACGGATGTGGCTGCTTTCATTGAAGAACTTCAGTTCAAACCTCTGGCCAATGTCATGGTTATGGATGCACCAGAAATGTTGTTTGAATGGTATTTTAACTGATAGGGAAACAGTGCAAGTTCGGCTGCGGAACAGTTGCAACAGGAGGTGTTATTATGGAAATATGATCCCCAGAACAGCGCCACCCTAAGATAAGATAACTGTGTACCAGCAGTGTCATTACTTTAGGATTTCATAGGTTCTCAAAAAACCGAGAACGTAGAGGGTTAGATACATTCGTTCTCTAACGAAATCGTGCATTACAAAATATTCTTCCAGTGTTCTGGGGATCAATTTTCCATAATAACTAACACATCAGAATATGTTCAATGCAAGCCGCCACGTCCGTTTTGTTTTTTCTGCGCCAAAGTTCTTGCTTAAAATCCTTTCAAGAGTGCCTTTGCTCAGAGCTATTCCATGCCATTCATCTTATAAGGCAATAATCTTATCATTAATAGCTAAAACCACGTTTAAAATACTCATTAATGTATTCACAATTCATCCTGTGTCGGGTCGCGTCAGATCAATGAACTTTTTATCTCGTAATTATTCAATTCAATTCAAATTTATTTGTATAGCGCTTTTCACAATACATATTGTTTCAAATCAGCTTTACAGAAAGTGCATTTCAGAAATGTACATAGAAAAAATACAGTTAGTTAATCATGTATTAATTTAGGGCATAACATATCGCCGGCGTCGAGTCGTCTCTTCACAGGCGGTTAGTCATCTCATCGCAGGTGTTGGGGCATCTGAAGTCTCCGTGAGAGGCTGGATACAAACTGGAACTGATGAACGTTATTTACCTCGGGACTAGCGTCCCGAGATAACAGCAGAAAAGCAGATAGGAAATAATTAGCATTAGCATATATTAAATTATGATATAAGTATGTCATAAATGCGGGAATGGGCTTCCATACAGAGGTGACATTAAAGGGGTGGTTCAGGATTTTGGACATCGGATCTCATTTCCAAGTTAGCCTGGGTGTTATTTATCAGTGGAGACAGTTTACAAAAAATGTTATCCAGTCCTTCCAGTTGCATAGTTCGCCGGTGCTAGGCCAGCGCGAGTCAACGGTAACTGCTAGCCTGCCATTAAAAACAGTTTTACCCACTCCACAGTACACCAAAAGCAAATAAATTATAACGCCAGACTATCGATGTAAATGTCTGTTGAAAGAATAATGTTGCAGTCAAACAAGCCTACTAGTTCAAGATAAAGTGCATAAAGGTCAAATGGAAACTTGGAGCACCTGCATCTTATCTGGCAATCATTTGACTAAGTTTTTGGAAGCATTTAAAATGTATGAAACTTTAGCAGGTTTAGCATTTCCTTTAATGTGCTCATCCATTCACATGCGAATTACTGAAAACATCTATGTTTTTTGTTGTTGTTAAAATGTCATTATCCTTTTGGAGAAAACTATACACCTAAAACATTGTCATATTTTTGACCACGATGTTTAGTCCTTCCTTTTTGGAGCCTGGATTCTCTCTGCTTTTGTGGACTTGCTGCTGATAGAGGCTCTTCGCTTCATTTTTGAACTTCAGGTGGATGTTCTTCCAGCTGGACTGTGAGTAACATGACTTTCTGTACCATGTTTAGGTCTTTACAAACTATTAGGCGCATTTAACAGTTTTGCCATGTGCATTTACTGTATGCCTCAAGCACAGAATGTATTATCAAAGAATGGCATCATATTCCAGCAACACTGTCTGTATGTCAAAGTGCAGTTCTTGTGTGTTCTGTGGAACAAACATCAACTTCCCCTTTTTGAGATTGTCATTTGGATTAACTTTCTTGTCTCATTGTATTGTTGTGAAAGTATTCTTTACTTCACCAATATATGAAATAAATGTTGAAATGACAGTCTTATGACAACAACAGTAACAGTATCTTGTGAAAGTGAAGCACACTCTTATTTCAAGTTATTTCCTTTGTACTACTAGCTCTCAGACAATTATTTATAAGATACGTTCATAGAGTGGTCTTGATAATCTGTAATAACAACACTAATCTAAGATGGTGTCATGCACCAGTCAATCAAAAAAACATTATATTTTTTTTTAAGTCTTATGAAATCCACAAAGTACATGTTTCAGGTGTCATCATCTCTCAGCTTGACTTGTGACATCTTGGTTGATTCATCCACACTCACTTTTTCACAATAAAAACAGCTTTTTGATCTAGTTTAACTGCTGTATTTTGCAATTTTCAAACGTATGTATGGGAAACCCATTATCTGTTCTTCATTAAAGGGATAGTTCTCCCAAAAATACCCCAAAACTTTTTGACTTTCTGTCTTCCGTGGACACACAAAAAAAGATATTTTGAAGAATGATAATAACCAAACCGTTTTGGTGGCCATTGACTTCCATTGTATGGTCCAAAAAAAAAAGGGAAAAACAAGCCACACCAGCTAGACATTTGTTAAAATGTCTTCTTTTATGTTCCATAGAAGAAAGAACGTCATGCCGTTTTGAAACTGGTTAGTGAACATTGACGAATTTTCATTTTTGATCAACTCTCCCATTATCAATTAAATTTTGAATGAAATAGTGTTTTTGATTTGTCACTCAACTTGGATGGCAGTGCTTGCCTAGCGTCCACCTGTTTCATGAAGTGTGTGCTGTTTAAAATGTGGAGGGACGCATTTGGTGTCTGTCTATGACCATTAGTGACCATTTAGGCCATCTGTGGTTGACCCTCTGGGGTCTGAGGTGTTTTCTGGGTCCTGGAGGTGTTCTGACATGCTCTGACATTTGTGCTTATTTCTGTTACTTGTGACATTTTCATGGCTAAATCTGATTACACTGCACAAACTCTGCTACAATAATATGTCAGCAGCATGTATGTAAAAGTTTGTAGTTTTGGGATAATGACATTTATGCGTGGTTTGTGAGAAAAACAAAAAAAACAAATGTCACTGAAATAAGGTCATGAAACCCATTCTGATTATTTCTTCACAAGACTTTTGAAAATTGTACGGAGAGGCAGAAAGCATACCCTGTTTATTTTCTTTATTTTACAAAAGCACAATGTTTTGTTTTTATTGTAAGTGGACACATACAAAAGTAGACATCTCACAGATTCTTTTTTCATATTTCTTTTTTCTGTATGACTATAAATGGAGTAATTTAAGTATATTGTGCTACTATGTGAAGAAAATCCAGCAAAACGCGCCGGCGCGTTTGCCGACCCCGGAGGGTTAACCCTCAATTCCAAGTTTGTTGTGACGTTTCATCACCTTAAGTCGGCTTTTGACGGTAACAGTTTTACTGACCTTCTTTTATAGAGTTCATAGGTATATTGTTGTTTTTGCGGCGTGTGCCGTGCACATCACCTGTGCCTGAACTTTCAGGCGAGGCTCTTCCAACACTGGAGAAGTGGGTGCCAACCTGCCACTTCATCATCCTCATCACTTTCTGCTTATAGCCTTTACACGCGAAGAAGTAAACAAAGGGATCCAGGCATGAATTCAGGTTCATAAGACACACTGTAATATGCAGGGATATCTGAAAGGACTGAAGCTCCATGCAGTCTGGTTTATAGAGAAGTTTCCGAATCATGTATTGCAGGAGGTCTAGATGGTATGGGCTGAAACACACCACAAATACAAATACCACCCCTGCGATAACTCCTCTTGCTTTTTTGGTCCTTCCAGAACGTTCCGTTAGCCGATTCGACTTTGCTGCTAGACATAATTTATGGGTCAGTATGGAATAGCAAGCGATAATTATCGCAACCGGGGCGACAAAGCCTAGAACTACTCCTATGATCAGCATGTAGGGCAGCCCTTTGAAAACTCCCTCAAAATTGGGGTATTCCATACAGGTGATACTGCCATCAGACTCTGTTTTGGTCAAGTTAATGGTCAGGAGAGGCAATGTCTGGGCAAACACCAGAAGCCATATGGCCAGACACATAAACTTCGCGTTTTTTGCCTTTCTCAATTTCACCAGCCTCAGAGGAAACACCAGCGCCACAAAACGATCGACTGCCAGACAGGTCATGAAGTTAACTCCGGCATAGCAGTTTAAATAGAAGAGCAGTGCTGTGGCTTTACAGAGTCCTTCCCCCATGGGCCAGTTGAAGCCAAGGCCGTAGTAAACGGCCCGTAAGGGAAGCGACAGGCAGAATAGGATATCAGACACAGCCAGGTTGGCAGAATAAAAAGTGGTTGAATTAAGTTTGGTGATTTTGGAGATCACCACATGAAGAGCCAGGGCATTTCCAAAAAGTCCCACTGGACAAATGATGGAGTAGATCAGAGGTATGAGAACTCGCGCCACTGGACGATGGTCATACAAGTTGGTGCAGTTTTGGCCGAAATCTTGATTCGTCATAGTTATACACAGGAAAGTTCACTGAAGAAAAGAGAGGAAACTGGTATTTTATATAGGCCTATATATATATATATATATATATATATATATATATATATATATATATATAAATAATATATATATATATTTATACTAGCACTCAAAATTTTGGGGTCGGTACAAATTTTTAAAATGTTTTTGAAAAAAGTCTCTTATACTCCCCCTAGGCTACTTTTATTTGATCAAAAATACAGTTTAAACAGTAATATTGTGAATAATAATAATAATAATAATAATTATTATTATTACAATTTAAAATAACTGTTTTCTATTTTAATGTAATTTAAAATGTAATTTATTCCTATTCTGACAAAGCAGCCCTAACTCCATTCTTCATGTCACATGATCCTTCATAAATCATTATAATATGCTGATTTTTGGTGCTCAAGTAACATTTCTTATAATTCAATCAATGTTAAAAACAGTTAATATGTTGCTTAATGTTAATATCTGCTCAATATTTTTGTGTAAACCAGTAATTGCAAACATGGTCACCATAAAATTATATAAAATCTTTTCTGAAACATTTTTCTTTCCATAACGTATATACTTGTATCTCCTCTGCCCCTTCTATCTATAATTTAATGGAATGATATACTCACCAGATGGCATATAGAGAAGATCTTTAGTCAGACATTTGTGCTACTCTTTCTCTATATCTAATCACACTTTTATATAAATGTAGCAGTATAAAAGTGAGCAAAAGTGAGAGTTTAGCATCTCTTCCTGCCTCTTTCTAACTGTCTGTTACTCTGTTCCTCTCTTTCCTTTTACCTCTTTCTCTTTCTAGCAGTGTGGGGAGGCTGCTTAAGTTTATATGGGGAAGTGAAAAATCGTGTGGCTTTCACTAAGACATCAGGTCATTTTTACGTCAGACAACCATTACTGTTGATTTGTATTGAATCCCCATTGAGAAACACATTTAGTTTCACACATCAATACAAATTATATATATATATATATATATATATATATATATATATATATATATATATATATATATATATATATATATATATATATATATATATATATTTAATTTTTTATTATTAATTAATGTACTAGTTGCCATTATCAGTTACCCCATTGTCTTTTCTGCACCTCTTAAATGGTTCATGAAACATATTCTGAATTTTGCAATCGTTGTTGCTTCATTGTACTGAGAATTTGATGTTCATGTTATTGGCTCATCTGCTTTATTGTTATTGGCTCTCATCTTAAAACTACTTGGAAACTACTTACCACAGAGCTTCTCTATCACCTTTGGGGACACATAAATTCTTACAAATATTATGCTTATGTCTGTGAAATATCTATGCATTTGATGTACGGCACTTCTCGGTTTCCTTTTTTTTGGTATATTATATGAAGTATTATCAAGGTAACTAGGAAAAACATGTGACTGTTTTCACTGATGTATTGTGAGTAACAATGTTTTTGGTCTTTATTACATTGAAAATAATTATTAAGGTGGAAGGAAACTGTTGTTTCAACTAAAAGAGGACATATGCTTTTTTACATTTTCAACTTCCTTTAGTGTGTAATGTGCTGTTTAAACGTGAAAAAGTCTTCTCATTTAAATAATTACCGCCCAAGGCATTACCAAAAAAAGGGGGGCGTGGTCTCTCGTTGAGTTGCGTTCGTTCGTAGTTTGTTGAAACTTGTGGTTATTGTAAGGGGTATGACATTTCCTAAACATGCTCAAAGCAGTTGACAAATCACAACACACTGGTTCAGCCAACCAATCAAATTACATTGTGCTTTTTGGAAGGAGGGGCTTCATGGAGACCGGAACTAAACAGCATTAATGACAGACTGAGAAGAGAGGTTCTGCGACAGTGTAAAATATGTGATTTTTTTAAAATAATTTTTTTTATTCAAGCATTAAAACCTATTCTAGTGGACCCCAAAAACATGTCACAAAATTTAAACATTTCTTTAAAATACTTTTTGCATATGTATATATTTTTGTATATTTTATACTTTTTTTTTTCAAAACCATATGAAACTAAGACAAGGATTATATTTCTAAGAACTTTCACATGTGTTTTAAACTAGATTTTAAGATTTTCTCTTTAGACACTATCATATGTCACTATCAACAAGGTTGAGGATTGACTTTCAATGATTTTCCCCATTTTTAACTTTTTTTTCTCTCTCTTTCTCAGGCTGGGCCCAGTCTTTGCTCTCTTTGTGCCTTTCTACAACTCCATCCCACGTGTTCAGGTCACTCAGTTGCTTGGCCATGTCTCAATCACAAACAAGTCTCTGACATACATTGTGGGTGCACAGGTGAGCTCCGACTGCAATTAACAAATCCTTTTTTTTTTTTATATATCTCAAAAGCTACATATAAAAAGTTAAAGCCACTGCTACATGATATCTCAAGATAATAAGTGACATTTACTGGCAGTTGCACCCTTTCTTCACAAGCAAGTGAAGTTCACATGCAGTTTAAATGGCTAAAACACCATTTTGCAAGAGCAGAAACCACAAATAAATTGTCAGTAAGATAACAGAGGCAAGACACACGAGAAATCCTGTAGTACCTGAGAACATATTCATTGTGGTTTGTGTTTCGGGGATGTTTTTTGATATTAAAGATAACAGATGAAGTTGCACATTTACTCAGTAGAAAAACAGACAAGAGTAGATGGCATATGAACATTTAAAGATTCATCACCATTTTCAGTCCTGCATACACAAACATGGCTTTAACATAACTACTTACAACTAGCCAACGTATTTTAATCTTGTAATATTAGATGATTTGGTTTTGGTTTCATTAAGTTAATGTTTGAGTTTTTTTGTTCCACTCTTGCATCAAATAAAATGTTTATTTATATCATGCAATTGTTTATGGCTGGTTGTAAATTAGTGTTGCTGGTTTGAGAGGCGTCAGAGATATTTTGTAGATGTAAAAGCTCTGAATTTTTTCTGTTGTCTGTTCTTTTATCTTGTCATCAGCTCCTGACGTCAAGTGCCTACATGTGGATTGTTGCTTGTAGTGGACTGGTAAGAATAACGGCTCACATAGATTTGCATCACATTACATTTCTGTGTTTGCTTGTTTTGATCTGAAATGGTCTTTAGTAAGTTTGATTACAAGTGCATAGTGAAATTCAACATGACACACAGTCATAAAGCGAGATCCACTGGTCTGAGAAGTCGTTGTTACCATAGAAATAAAATTGTAGTGGAGATTTTTGGAGGGTAGTGGAAATTAGCTAGGTAACATTAAATATCTACTATAGGAAGATTTACCATTAGAGCTTACAGTGATGGTGTTTTTTGTAAGGAAATATATTAAAAAGATGAAAAACTCCCAGTACCCGCTTTCATATTTTGAAGACTGTTTTTGTTTTTGCCAGTACAATGAAAGTCAATGGGGTCCGAAAAAACTTTAGGCTCCATTGACTTTAATTGTATAGACAAGAAAAAAGCACACATAATTCAAAATTTCTTCTTTTCTGTTCCACTGAATAAAGAAATTCAAACTGGTTTGCAATGACATGTCCAGGTGGGACTTTTATTACTAGTGGCACTGTCTTGAGCATTGTCTCTGCTAGCAAAATGAGCTGCCGGTGCGTGGATGAGGAAAATATTTGTGTCAACTTTTAGAAGTACATTACCATACAGTAGATCTCTTAAAAGTTAATAGAAATGGACTAAAAGCAACTAAACTCTTTTGATTTGATGGTTTCATTAATCTGGCTCATTATTGATTTGTTCGAAAGGTTCTAGAAAAACTTTTTTTTTTTTTTTTTTTTTACTCCTGAAGCCTTGTTTATTAGCCTCCTGCGCTCTATTATACTTACAACGTGTCTGTGGCACAGCTTGAGGCTGTCTACACTGTTCCTAATCCATTAGTCCTGTTGTCGGAAGTAGCACAAACACTTGGAGTATGTCATAAATAGAATGGGGCATCGGTTTACTCTCTGGGATTTTATTACAACATCATTGATTAAAATAGGTTCTATTGTCTTTTGTTGTTGTTGCGTTACTGTCATGTTTGTATGGTAAGCGTTTACAATCACTCTGTTCCAGATCGCCGGCATGTTTTATTACAGTAATAAGTTGGCTGTCCAGAAGTTCTTGCGTGTGCCAGAATGGGTGGCCCGATGTGGTTCTGTGCTCCTAGAGCCGGTCTTCTCAGATTCTGAGCCCACTGCAGAGGCTCCGCTGGGGATGGGTGCTACTTTGGACATCCAGAGACAGCAGAGGATGGATATGCTGGACCAGCAACTGCTCCTGACTCAGCTGGCACACCTCAGGAGAAATGCACAGCAACAGCAGGCTCAGGTACATCTACAGTACTTTTATTACAGGGACAGTCCCTCTGTAAATTCCTGGGGTTAAGTGACTTACCTATAGCATTTTTGTTATCAGTGCAGAGCTTTAACCACAAGGCTATTCCACCATCCCCTCAAATGACAACGAGGAACTAGCCTTAAGAACTAGGAGATAACTGAAGGTCAGCTGAATATCATTTTTCTTCTTCAATTTTACAAGAGATAAGGGCATCTTTAATCTCACTTACAGCCATGGTTTAGAACAGTAGTTTGTTTTTAATCTTCTTCTTTTTTTTTTAAATCAGAAACACTTATTTAGGGGAGAAAATAAAATAATTATGATTTCTTGAGTTTTATGTATTTTTTATTTTTTTTGCATTTTAATTAGCTAAGTCAGGGTGTGTTCACACTTGTAGTTCGGTTTGCTTGGTTCGTTTGATCTGGGCCAAAAAAAAAAAAAACATTTAATCCTGGTCCGCTTAGCATTCACATTGGCATTTTTAACACTGAACCTAAAGATACCGAATCTAAAGTCATAGGGATATTTTCACAACCTGATTGGTCGGCTTTTATGACGTGTATTTTGTGACGGAACTTACCAAACTACAAACTATCCTGTGTGCTGGTCTAAATGCATTTGTTGTATGTGCATAGCCTACTGTACCTATGATGGTATTTTGATCTGCTGCAAGGAGTTCAGAACGCGGTTCTGATGCCTGTACCGAACTTGTGATGGGCAACCTCACGATGTATGCTTGAGCATTCTGTTATTTTTAGGGTCGCATCTTGTGATATCAATTCCTGTTTTTTGGTTCATTTACATGTCTTTGGTCCGTGTTGCTTTCATATTTCATTCGAACTGCTCCAGAGTTCGCTTGGAAGCGGGCCGAGACCCATCTTTTCAGCGGTCTCGGTCCGCTTGTTTGGTGCGCACCAGGGTTCGGATAGCAGCGTTCTCACATCATCAAATGAACCGCACTGACAGAGCAATTGCACCAGGGTTCCTTTTAATCAAACCAAACATGCCAAGTGTGAAGACACCCTTACCTTAGAGTAGTGCTTCATGATTCTGGATAAGTTGAAGGAAGCACTTTAAACATTTTCTTATTTAAATTTTTTATTTTTATTTTATATACAGTATAATTGTGCTTCAAATAAAAAATAAAGTATTTACCTACAGCTTATTCTTGTTTAAAATCATTTATTTAATATATATGAATGTATATGGAGCGTGATAAAAAGGTGACCTTGAAATTGTGGCGTTAAAGGCAACGCGAGCCGAGAAAAAATGTGGGTGCACCTAAATAAAAAAAGTTAGGCGCACCAGTGCAACCAAGGCAAAAAGTTAGTCTGGAGCCCTGGATTCACTGATTCAGGTCCCTGTACTATGTCCTATGTTTTCGGATTGGATATGTAAATTAGGTGAATTTGTGTCATAATTAGTGTTTTAGGTGTTTTTTTGTATTTGGTATCATTTTACCTGATTGATACAGTCAACCTAATCAAGATTGCTTTTTCAAAACAGCAGCATGTGCAATCAATGTGAAATCATTGGTATAAATGGAATTAAATTTTATTTTCCCTTTATGTGTTTCCTTCAGGGTATGTTCACATATTATTAGACTAGAAACCATGCTGTTAGTAGGGTGTAATGTTTTCCATAACTTAGTAATGTTTTCCTTATCAGAGGAGTAGAAACTAAAACTATTGAACAAGCTCTATTTCCATATTTCTGTCACTCAAATCAAACAAGATATTAGGCAATAATTCTTGTTTTTCTTTTCCATTTATTTTCTTTGTTTTTGAACAAGAGGAAGTTGATGGTTTCCTGTAAACAAACTCAGATAACCACGTTTTCATCACAGATGCCTGATCAAGAAGATAATTTTGCCCTTTATGAAAATGAGAAAAGTTATTTATTCTTATTTTCTGACATTTTCTTGACATTTCTCAATGTCACTTTGAGTCCTACTGTATATGTACTTTATGAATTTAGGCCTAGAGTCTGCTTACGCTGTAACTGGTAGATATAAAAATGTTGTTGGGATCATGCTGACAGGTTGCTCAGTCTTTCTTTAATGGGAGGTTTTGAATGTAGAGAGAAAAATATCACTACTGTTACCAAAAAAACAACTACCGGTACCTCTATTACTGAACTCTTGTAACAACTATACTGTCTTTAAAGTCAGCATGAAACAAAAAATTGCATCACATTTTCTTCCCTATGATGGCTAGGGTTGGGAACCGAAATCCGGTTCCATTTTAGAACCGGATCCAAATTTCCAAGAATCTGGGATTTGATGACGTGAATTATGCTTGTTCCGTGTCTACATTTAAAATAATGAACTTGAGCACACAAAAGACGTGCCGTGAATTGCCCCTAAAGCGCACCCAGATAGCCGCCTCTAATATAATGAATGAATACTGAATTGAGTGTTAATTCTTGTCGTCTTGTCTTGAACTGACACATATACACAGTAGGTTTTGTCTTAAGTTGACATGAACAGTTGCGGAAGAAAACGTGTAACAGTATATTGGATTTTTGGATTCAGTCTTAAAGTGACAGCAGCCTACTGTCATTTGAGTTATTGATTAATTTGTAATAAACACTGAAATATTCCATAAAAAATAGGACATTTTGATTTCATGGTGACTTTAAAATGTGATGTTTAATTCCTGTCATTAATGGCTGTCCACAGCAGACAGGTCTCCTCAATTGGAACAGATTCTTCCCCACTTTACGGCACAGAGGACAGAACCGGCTCCAAGAGGGTCCTCAGCCACAACAGCCCCCCTATACGCACCCGCCGGATAACACAGATGTGGTCGAAGAACAGGTGAGATCTCAAGTAATGTTTTCTTTTCAATTGTATCACACCTTATTAATTACATCATCTATCAGGAAGATTTGTTTAGCCTCATGGGTTGCCAGATTCAACAATTTTTGCCAGATACTATATTTTTTATTTTATACTATTTTATTTATAGGTTGCAAGATTAATGGAGATGGGTTTCTCAAGGATGGATGCCCAAGAAGCTCTTAGAGCATCTAATAATGACATTAACATCGCAACAAACTTTTTGCTTCAGCACTGAAAATAAAATAAATTGAAGATGACTAAGAGGACAAGGGAAACAAGTTGAAAAGTACTCAAGAACATAACTCTGGTGTCATGACTACACCTGTTGGAAGAAGTTAACAGTCGACTTTGGTACTCAACTCACGGGAGCTGATGATGTCACTTTCTTTCTGGCTGCTTATTGAATGGGCAGTGTGGCGCGCCTGCTGTTGTGTATTGCTACTAGGAATTGACTTGCAATTGCAGCCCAATCAACAGGACATAGCCAACATGGTGGATCATCACACATTGTGTCTCAGGGCTTGTGTCATTTGGCGTTGTCCTTGAACCTATATCTTCTATTAATTAAAAAATCCTATAATATATTGATGAATTATCAAACCACATGCTGTTTTGTTATAAATAAACTGAAGTCTTAATGGTGTAGTTCATCCAAAAATGGACTCGGCCTGATGTTCCAAAGCTGGAATGACATGAGGGTGAGTAAGTGATGACAGAATTATGTTTTTTAAGGTGAACTGTTCCTTTTTTTTAGGTCAAGTCATAAAGGGCTAGTTGTATGGCAGTGTATTTAAAGTACACCTGGATGTATTGGCTTCTTGAAGAGACCTCTGCCACTGACAGGCCAGAATCAATCTGGAATTTAGTCCAGAACTGACTAATCAAAGTTTGGAAAACTACTACAAAATCTGTGAAAGCATGAGATCTAATAATCTTTCAAAGCATCGGAATAGTTCTTTTTTGAGTTTTTTTTTTAAACAAACACAAATTGTGTCATTGTAATTGTGACTTTGGTGTCTGAAAAGTCAATAATATTAAGAGGATATCTGTCTGTGTTGATCTGACAAAGTTTGTTTTAACAGCATGATTTCTCGGTCATATAAAAAGACAAGGTAAAATATTGTTTAAAACAACTCATTGAAGTGAGTATTAATACCCATAACCAGCATTAAAATCATGTATTTAAAGAACAGCCATTTAAACAATATACATTTTTGAGATTGTGATGTTTTATGCTAATAAGACTGTTATTTTTATATAATGTAATTTTTTTATTATTATTTTACACAGTGTTTGATTTTGTCTAATCAAATGGTGTTCAAACCAAAAAAAAAAAAAAAAAACCTTTAGCTACTCTTAAAGGGTTAGTTCACCCAAAAGTGAAAATTCTGTCAGTAATTACTCACCCTCATGTTGTTCCAACCCCGTAAGACGTTCGTTCATCTTCGGAACACAAATTAAGATATTTTTGATTAAATCTGAGAGCTGGATCACTCCTCCATAGGCTTCTTAAGGGATTTAAACTGACCAGCCCAAAAGTTATGAAAGACATCGTTAAAATAGTCCGAGTGACTACAGTGGCTCAATCTTAAGTTTATTAAGCGACGAGAATACTTTTTGTGTGCAAAAAAACGAACAAAAATAACGACTTTATTCAACCATTAATTTCCTTCTCTGTGGGCCGTGATATTTCACGTAGTGAAACTACGCAAAGCTTCTGGGTTGTACGTCACGCATCACACACATGACCAGCGTCGGCCAATAGTGAGCCTGCGTGTGACGTGCAACCTAGAAGCTTTGCGTAGTTTCACTACGTGAAATATCACGGCCCACAGAGAAGGAAATGATTAGTTGAATGAAGTCGTTATTTTTGTTTGTTTTTTGCGCACAAAAAGTATTCTCGTCGCTTGATAAACTTAAGATTGAGGCACTGCAGTCACTCGGACTATTTTAACGATGTCTTTCATAACTTTTGGGCCGGCCAGTTTCGATCCCTTAAGAAGCCTATGGAGGAGTGATCCAGCTCTCAGATTTAATCAAAAATATCTTAATTTGTGTTCCGAAGATGAACGAAAGTCTTACGGGGTTGGAACAACACGAGGGTGAGTAATTACTGACAGAATTTTCATTTTTGGGTGAACTAACCCTTTAAGATAAATTGTTTTACTCTGCCAGAAAAACACTGGTCCACCCAAAAGCAAACCATGCAATGTTCTGTGTTGAATACCCATTGTGGTCAAATAGTAAGATTTATTACTTTTGATAAGTTAACACTTTAAGATGGTCTTTAAATATGAATAGACTAAACTTGTTCGTTAAACCACCAGACTAGAATTTTAACAGTCAGTCAATCCAATTGTCTTGAGTGTGTGGTAACAGATTTTAGAGAATAGAATACGATGTACAATGCCTGGACATAAATATGTACTTAAAAGCTACCTCTTATATATCTGCTGTGCTAAACACTCATCACTTAAATCCGTCACAAGTTTTTTAACTTTAAACAATATGATGTTGTAGCTATACTTTTAAATAATGGATAAATATGTCCAACAGTAAAAGCAAATAAATAATGATCATGCTTTGTAAAACTTTTTATTTGTGTACAATGCAATTAAAATTGGCCACTCTGGACCATACACACTTGTCAAGCCATAGATGGCAGTGTTTCACTGAGCCAGAGGTAGAATGAGACATACCATTAGTAAAAAAAATTATTGGACTTCCCACTGTTTTTAGAGACACATGCCAAATTTAAAGACATATCATGTTTTTTTAATATTATTATTCTTTTCAAATACAGGCATGCACATAAACTGCATTAGTTTGAAAATTGAGCTATTTAGTATAATTTGAGTTAAAAAAAATCAGGAATAAGACACTGAAGATTTTTTGGAAAAGAATATAATAAAGTTAAATCAGAAGTGTCCAGGTGGATGAATAGCACTGTAACAAACAGGGTATGAATGTTTATACAAATTTTTTAAATCAATTTTATCTTTATATTGCTTTTGACAATTCTTTCCAAATTAGAATCTTTTCACAAAGATATGTGCCTTACAAAAACCCAATCCAAATGTGACAGGGAAAATTCTTGAGATGTTTAATCTGGCATATCTCAAGACTAAAGAAAACATTTGAATTGAACATTTTATTTCCATACAATAGCTTTTATTCTTTTCAACTAAAGCTGTATTATCTACTAGAGTTTAGTATTGTACTTTGGGCAAATTCTTGTATGTAGATTTAAATATAGTTGTTTTCTTAGTCTGGTGCAGTAATCATAACAGACAGTAAAGCTTTTGATTTTGGGTCTGTCAGTCCTGACCTTTAAGGATATTCTTGGATTCAGTGGTCAGAATTCAAAGGTTAATGTTTCGGCTGAAATGTGGTTTAGTCAATATCATGGTTGAGTAAATGTCAAAGGATTTATGAAATGACACCGTTAAGTAGCCTGGGATAGTTGGAGAATGAACTCTAGAAAAGCAGCTTAAAGGATGGGGTCAAATTTAAAGTAAATTGTACTGTATAATATCTGAATCTTATGGATCTGTTGCTTTTAAAATTGTTGCATTTCATCCTCATACATTTGTAGAGGTGCTGTTCAGCAGTTTCATTTGCATTTATTGTCATATAAATCACTCCGTGGCATTATATAGTTTCAGGTTTTGTAACCTACTCCAGCATGCAGGTTACATAAATTCAGATTTGGAGGAATTTAACCAGTCCTAGACTGCTACACCGAGGTAGTAAGTTCAACTTCAATAAATTATTTTCCCCACAAGCACTTTGGTGCAGCTTACAATCTTTTCAGAAGTCTCATATGTTGTAGAACTAACCAATCAGCAAAATCAAGAGAATCTAACACTGGCTGCATCCGAAAACTTAGGCAGCTGAATTGTTGCCTCACTGCCATTGCCCCACTGCAATGACTCTGCAGGCAGCCTTTTCCCAAGAAGGTACCTCACGAAATTCGGACAGACTTCTGAGGCAGCATAACAGTTTAATAATCTACAGCAAACTAGAGCGAGCCATGGTGAAATTACATCTCGCTAGAAATTACATCAGAAGTGGAAAACGTTGGTCAAAAACTTACATTTACAAGCAAACTGACCAGCAACCGCAACTTTCAGATGCCATCTTTTTCTAGCTCAACTGTCACAGAATGGAAAGCACGGGATTGTGGGATATCAAAGGCAGTGAAGGATACTTCTGTGCTGCTTTCAAAGCTCAATCAGATAAAGGTATCTCAGGAGACAGGAAGTGAAGCTAACATTGGTTTTGGACGTGCTTTGATGCCTTCCTACCTTGGAATGCGTCCTCCGAAGGCAGCATTTTTAAGTTTTCTGTGAGCCGTTAAGGAGGGTGAATGATTTGCCCCATCTGGTGGCCTTATATTATCCATTTACTGCCAGAACCTTCCAGATGTCCAGATCCCCACTGACCTCCAATCTTTGTGTTGTGATGTCATGTCACTCAATCACCAGGACTCTTGTCAAGAGACAACATCAGCATGATTGTCAGATACCAGGCTTGTGGATTTCAAAGTTCAATTGCTGAAGTTAAAGAACCATGGTCACCCTTGCATTGATCACTTTGGATACAAACCACCCATTGCATAGTTTCTCACCAGTCAATAAACTGGTATTAACCAGTCATTTTTCCAGTGCCCATTTTAAATGCCAGATATTCATTTTGTGTGGTTCAGTAATGTTGGGCAGCTTTTTTTTAATGAGGGAAAAATATATTGAATGCTCTTTACCAGCATTTGGAATTCACAAGCATACTGTACATTGTCCATCAATCTCTGGAAGGTTGAAGGTCATCCATGTAGTCCCATTGGGAGTCCAGTGTCCACAAGGATCAGAGAAGGCTGTTTTTCCCTTGGATTCTGGAGATCAGTGTTTAATGTTTAAACCGTCCCAAAGCCAAGATACTTCTCAAATATCCTGCTATTAAGGTTGCATATCTAGGTTGCGCGCTCTAATTTAGAGCCAATGGGGCAGATTTCAGACTGCTCCGCTGATTTTTACGTTACCTGTAGCGTAAACTTCGCTACAGAACAAGACGGTATTCCGCTACAGCTGTGTAGTCTGCATGAGGTCAGTAACTAGCTGGCATGTTTGTTCTTCCTATGTGGAGTAGCGGATCAAATTAATGAAAGTATAAATCCTTTAGTTTAAACATGATCAAATGAATAGCCTTATATAATTATGTTGTGTTTGTTTTGAGAATATGCATGCCATTCTTTTCCTCCCCAGAATTCCTACAACTTGTAAAACAACATTCTGAGGCAATAAATACTACATTAAAGCTATTCTAAGATAGCATTCTATGCATGTGTCATGTGTTTTCAATCAACACCAGAGCGCCCCCCTCAGGCTGAATAGCGCAAGGACACTAGACCTAAAAAGTGAGTCTGCATGTGTTCAGTGATTATATAAAGTTTACAAAATGTTTAACATAAACTAGCACCAAGACTTCCCTACCTAAATTTACGGTCAATAAACTACCCTTGCCCACTTGACGAAGTTGAACACACTTCAA